GGTGAAAATGGAGACCAAATGGCATTAACTAAACCCATGGGAGAGGATTCCATTGGTGACATCCATACAGAAACCAGAATGCGGCATTCTAATCAGAGTGTTTATATTGGTTTCCTGTGTGCCTTTTAGAATATAGATCCTGAATCTGTGGCCAAAGAGCCCTCAAGAGTTTCGGAATATCTAACGAAAGAATATGAAAAATTGTGCATAGATACACACATGCATTTTCCGGGGGAGGAGAGTCATAACTTTTATCAAAGAACCATGGAGATGGTCCTCTTCATGATCCAAAAAGGATAAAAATAAAAAGTGACACAGAAAGTCAATCTATTCCGGAGGTGACCAGCACACTGATGACTTCAGTTATGTTTTTAAGGGCAATAAGCCATCAGAAGCTATTGGTGAGCTACTGCCGGCTCCAGCTTAAACAGCCAAACTTCTTATCTGTGGATGTTGCTTTAGCGCACATATTTCCTCTTTACAAATGAGAATTTAAAGTATAACAATAATGATTTGCTCCAAAGTGACCAAAAGAGCCAAAATTCCTACTTCTCATGGTAAGTGTAATATACATTTATTTCCTTTCTCAGTTTATCTACCACCAAAACTCAAATTGTTTGAGAGAAAATTAAAAGCAAGCTGGATAATATACCTTGAATCTGTATTACCATTTTTGTTATGTGTTTGGCTACAACATGATTTATACCTAAGATATCTACTATATGTATTAATGCAATAAAGTGAGAAAAGAGAAATTGTTTCTCACAATATATTCAAAACGCAACCGAATTATGAACTTTACTCTTAATCTTCCCATATAAAAGAGTCTCAAATAAATTTGCACTCTCTGTTATAGCTATCACTTCACCTACACGTAAACTTTCCAAATGTTTATTCATTCGTTTAACAAATATTTATTAAGTGCCAGGCACGGTGCTGAGCCCTGGAGCCACAAGCCTCCGATCCGTGAAGAGTTCTCTTTCTACAGATGATACTCTAGGATTCGCAAACACCATTTGCAAAGTATCTCTTCTTAAGACTTCTAATTTCTACATTAGCATATTATGATCATATCTTTCCAAACTGCATAACAGCTGTGTGGCTCTTCAGTGGAGACTGTTAAATATGCCACTAAAGTCAAGTAAGAGGAGCAACCACAGATCACGTGTACGATGTTAGAGAAAAGTATAATTTATCACTGTAATTAGTACTATTTAGACAAATGCTCTCTCTTGGCTGTAAGCTACCACGATATCTAGTCTGAGCTACAATTAGACTTAATTTTTACCAAGCACTGAAACTATGTATAAAATTGTGCTTCCTAATCCGTCCTCAGATAAGGCCTCAGTCTCAGTTTAGAGGTAAGGAATTCTAATGTTCAAACATGGAAAATATTTCCATCCTCCCACCACAACCTAGCGGAGTTGTCTATAAATTTCCAGCCATTAATTAGTACTGAGCTTTAAGATTTTACTAAGCCACAGCCAAAATAAAAACAAACGACAGTTAATAAAATCATAGGATTTCAACTGAACAGATTATCTAATTTGAATTCCTCGTTTTAAAGATAAAGAGACTGAGACCTGGAGAAGTTCACTGACATGCTCAAGGTCACACAGTTAAGGACAGAGCTGTGGCCTTCTGACTCCATCTCCAGTGCTCTTCTTGATACATACAAGAAAGGGTTGTAGGAAATTAAGAAGAAATTCTCAGAGAGAAAAAAATTACCCTTAATTACAAATGTGAGTGAACCATAACTCAGATGCACTTAATAAGCTCTAAATTAAAATTATGCTTTATTAAAAATAAGTAAAGGAAGTCAAACCTGAAAAATGATAGATCACTCTTCTGGGATATGGCCCTCATACAGGTCAATCCAGTTATAATCAATTTTAAGGGCCTGTTCCAATTATTTTTTAGTTCTGGAATTATTCCATATTGAATAATACCTGAAATTAGGAGGGTACTGGCTAGGGACCAGAAATCTTTTTGATTTATAGTGATTTTTGTTGTAATGGGTTTTGACCAGGGAACAGTAAATTAAAGCAAGACTTCAAACTTTCACCTTAATTTCCTCTATCTCCAATTTTGGCCTCTTCCCTCCCTACTTGTACAAAGGACTTAGTAAAGGATTTTAATTCCCACTTTGATTTCATTTTTATTTTTCAAAATTTAAATAGTTTGTTTCATTGTTATTGAACTTAACAATTTCTTCAACATCTCTATATTTCTCAGAGTAAAATTCTGTTAGAGAAATGGACGATAAAGATTTTACTAATATTTAAGTTGTAAAATATGTAAACGCTGGAAGACTGACTCTCATAACACTTTAAAAAGTAAGTGGTGCTTGAATGGCTAAGGAATTATGGAATACTATTCCAGCCGATTCATTTATCAAATTAAAATGTGTTTGCAAGCCAAAAGGACAGAGACTTTCTCTGGGCTTCCATCAGTACTGGATAGTAAGAATAAAAGAAATGTGTTGTATAATTTTAGGACTTGAATTCTAGTTCAGCTGGATGTATAAGTAAAATAAAGAGATCCAACAACTGATTGAGATGGTGATTTCTCAAACATAAAGTGCATTTGTGGTTCCTATTGAAGTAAAAATAGTTAAATGAAAGATGGGACATATTTAAATGTTTTTAAAAGCCTATTGTACTAAAAAATACAAAAGATACATTTTTTTTTGCTACAGGTATTTACAGGGAACTTAGTAAACATTTACACATGCCGGCCACTGTACTAGGCACTTTTCACGTCTAGGTCTCTTTCGTTCCCACAGCAGCCCCTTCCAGTGAGTGCTATTATTATTCCCATTTTACAAACAGGAAAGCCGAGGCACACAGCTAGTACGTGGCAAAGCCAGATTTCAAATGCAGTCGAACCCTGGAATTTGTGTGCTTAAGCACTGTACCATCATGGTGACTTAAGAATTATCAGCTTTGTTGAATTTAATCTTTGAATCATTTAGATATCAAAACTTAGACATGTCTCAATTAAACAATTTCAGTATGAAACCTTTTAATTCCACAATTGTCATATCTCGAGAAATACCCTGTTAATTAATCAGTTGTTCTCTAAATACTAAGCCTCTTGTGTGTGTAGCAAACTCATATTACAAGAACTGTGCTGGTGCTCTCACACACTGGCTGCGTACAAACTAAATAACCTCCAGCCTCCAACTGTTCTATGCGTAGCCAGTTATGAAACGTTCCGCATGACATGGGGACCACACTGACTGAGGTTCTTCTTTAAGCTCATGTAGAACTCTGCAGATAAACCTTGCCAGTTCTACAACCTGAATCTCTCTAACCCATGCCCTTTCTTTCAAACCTACTGTAATGACCATTGTTAAGGCTCTCGCACTTTGTGAGTCCCTCCAGCCTCAAACTCCTCCCATCTACTCTAGACGGGCAGTTCCGGGCACGGCTGGTGGGGCAGGCAAAGAGATTGGGAAGAGTGACTGAGGCCCCCAAGCATTAAGCTTCATTAGTCTCTCAAGTCACCGCAAATAGACATAAAAGCTTTCTTCGACATAGATATTTACTATTCAAATACAGCTTCAAGACAAATGTCCCATCCTCCCTTCTAATCCAGTCTCCACCCAGCCTTCTCATAGAAGCACCTGGAACTAGCACTGACCTTCCACCATGCTAAATGAAGTCATGTTATTCCCCCTTCATCCTTTCCACAAGATTTAAATTCCTTAAAACATCATAGAAGACACTGCATGATTTGGCTACCTTCCTTCCTCACCTCTTCTACTTGCCCACACTGGCCCAAGTTAGCCATATTAAATAACCTGCACTTCTCTGAACACACCTTGCTCTTTCAGCCCTTCATGTTTTGTCCACGCTACTCCATATATTAGAAACGTCCTTCCTCCTCTTTGGACACCTGGCTAACTGTTGCTCACAGATGGAGACTCATGTCAAACACTATATCCTTGATGAAGCCCTCCTGAAACTTCAGAGACCCACCCTTCCTTCCAAAATTCTTCCCTTAAGCAAAGAGCTAGGACCGTCCTCCTCTGGATTCCCCTAACATCCCAGGTATAAATACCATTAGTCTAGTCTTATCACCATATGGGTCAATGGTCCTCACACAGCTCCATCGCCCCCTTGTACTAGCTAAATAAGTAAATCAATTTGACCTTGTTTATCATTCTACGCTCAGTGCTTCACTCAATGCCTGGCACTCAGAGTTAACATTCAACGAATGTTTAATAAGTTGGAATTAAATTTTCTATACAATATAGTAATAGAGATATGTACATTAATAGAAAATATAAATAATATTGACAATAATATTCACAGAAAACATCTAACCACTGTGACTTTCATAATAAAATTAAAATATTAATGTTATAGGCACATGATGAAATTTTGGACTTTCATGCCTCACTTGTTTAAATGCTTAAAATCGCATTTTTAAAAAGTGTGATGGTTCCACTCCAAGAACCAGCTGTCACATGCTATATTAGTTCTGTTTATTTGGTCATTGTTAAGCAGAACATCTTTTCTTTTTAACCACAATAAATGAGCAACTTTATTAAACTAAAGTTGTTCATTTTAATTTTTTCTTTCCTAAAGGCATGGCCACATGTGGAATGAAAAGTATTTTTACTATCCTTTAACAAGATGAATGTCCTATTTTGTGTGATTTGGGGCAGTTTTTTATCAAGACTGCTAGCCTCTTATGAACATTATGATTTTCAGATGTGTAGTGTGCATTAAAGAACAAGAAGATATCCTGAAATATTAGTGACAATTATATATTGAGCAAGGAAACTGGACAATGTTTCCAAGGGTTGTAAGGATTGTGGAAATGAATGGTACTCAAAGTAGAGTGGTGATTTATAACCAATTTCCGTCTTCAAATTAGGGCCCCAGTAAAAGAAAACGAAATTTAGCAAAGCATTATGGTGCATCATTTCCTGCAGCAGAAACACCCGCAGGCACCAGAGCCCCCGCCAGTAGGGTACAAGAAGCAGCAACCTGAGGGAAGCCCACAGGCTCGCAGGGCCACGGGCTGGCTTTTTGTCACCAAATGCAGCAGGTTGAATGCAGACATCACGGTGATTATCTTCACCAACAAAACGAGAGGCAAAGAACAGGGGCAAGAGCTGAGTAGGAGAAAAAAGAAAACAAAAACAAATTAAAACATCACAAATGTTAACCACATTCATTGCACAATTGATGGTTATGGTTTTATCTGGAACTGAACACACACACACACACACACAGTGTTAATAAATTTCAAATGGCTATTTTTCAGAGGGTGAGCTTACTTTCAACCCAGGCGTACTTATATCTCATGAATAAAATACACAAGATATAACAGTATCATCTGTGAATACATTTTGCAAGGGGTTCAGATAAGAGACGAAGTTTAACACAGTTGAAAGGAATTAGCATTTACTGAGTTCGGACCATGTGACAGCAACTGTCTGGGGCCTAATATACACATTGTATCATTCAATTCTTACAATAAACTGAGGAGGTAAGTTTTATCCCCCAATACATATGTGAGGAAGCGAAGCTCAGAGGTCCAAGGGCACAAAGCAAATAACCAGTAGAAAAGGATGAGAAACCGCGTCTGATCTGACAGCAAAGTCATGTTCTTGCCTCACACCACACCGCGTTCTTCCAGTTATTTTTCATTTGCAAGTCTCCCTCCCTGGAGAAGATGGTAAAATACTGTAAGATTAAGAGATTTCTTTTTTTTTTTAACTGAGAGCCAAATAACCTAGGGACAGCCAGGAGATTCCCTTCAGAACAGTGTTGCATCTGAACAAAGCAAAGCGAATGTGAATTTTCATTTGATTTTACGATTTATAATTTCCAGGTCAATCCTGTGAATAATATTCACAACCTAGCCTTTAAAAAGGGTAAAAATATTCTTTAAAGCTTTTGAAAATGAATCATGTGGAAGAGTCTCAAAGTTGTGAGTGTGTTCAACGTCAGGGAAAAACCTAGTTAGGACTGTCTTTAAAGTTTTGTACAATCTTTCAACTGACAAAGGTTAACTTCAAATGAAGACGGAAATACTAGATGAATATTAACTTCTAATATTTTATTCAAAATTAGCATTATAAGTGACCTTAACCACTAAATGTCCAAAAATGGAGGCAAAATTAACGTCCTGTTCATTTCCTGACCCTCGTCCCCCCCTCAAAATAAAAGTCTGTTCCTGGTCTCCTCTGACCTCCTTGAAGAACAAACACGTAATAAACAGTAATATATTTCACCAAATCACTCTGGAGAATATCTGACAGAAATCCGCTTGTATTAACATGCCTGAACTCTGACTCCTCCAATCTAAACTCACTGCAAAACTAAAACATTTTTGTGTTACTAACTGGAGACAAAAGGGAGGAAGAGAGAAGGTAAGTATCACAATGCGCAGCCTGAAAGAACCGTCAAACATAAATAAACATGTCATTTTCACGAGTGACTGCAGAGCATTCCTTTGGAGCAGACTACTGACTAATAAAAGATCAAAGGTCTTTGCCTCACAACGCTATAAATAAAAATGTATTTTCTTCCCTGTGACCTTCTCTGGGAGGAATAAAGTGTGCACGGTAAATGTAATTACTTAGCAAAGCTGCAGCCTCCTCGTGCTCCCACAGCTGACCGTAAAACGTCTTCCTCGTCTGTTTCATCAACTGCTGTACCAGGCGGCCGGCGCGCCTACCGATGGCGGCGGCCATCTGGCTTGTGTCAAAGCCGGCGCACAGGAAGAAGGGGAGTGATGTCACTCTGCAGGTCAGGCAAAGAACAAAGATGCATTCTACAATTAAAAGCTGAGGGCCTCAAATACCGGGGGGCCCTCCAGCATGATATGACTGCGTGATTTAACGTTCCCACTCTGTGGCATTTATTTCTACCCAAATAGCCAGGGCTCCATCTAGTGGCAAATTAGTTTTGCCCGGTTTTCTTTAAAAGCAAACCCAGAAAGTGCTACATGAGCACCAGGACAGTAGAGCAACTAAAGTGACCGAGAACTTTTAGAGCAGTCTCGTCTTCTGACACGGAAGAATGCAAAAAGCATGTCGTCACAATGTTCTCCATTTTCAAATCCTACAAAGCACGCATTCCATAGGTTAGGATTTGACAGAACCTTAATTATTTTAGTGCTTTAACCCTAATCATAGTAGAAAAAGCAACTAATTTTCCAAAATGCATGCAAAGTGACATTACTTAGTCTTCTGAAAATACGTAAGTGAAATGTAAAGTGAGGAACAGTTCAAAAGAATGGACGATGCCCCCAGATGCCCTGGTGAAATCAAACTCACAATCTTGTTCTTCCACAGAACAAAGGAATCATAGTTAGTATGACTCAACATGTGACACCAAGAGCAACTCTTCTCTAAAACAGAAAAAGAAATGTTTTGATGCTGACATGATTTAACAAAATTAATTTTTAACTAAGTTTTCCACTTATTTATGTTTGCAGTAATTTATGTTTACAGTAAATAAAATAAAACCCTTTGACAAACCGATCTAAAATACAGAATGCTTTTGCATGAAAGATGGGATGTTGTCATAGCTGTGCGTGAGCTAAGTTAGTTGCATTACCTTGGGCAAGTCGCTTAACCTCTTGGTTACCTCAACTCTAAAATAAGTTAACTGGTAAAAAGCACTGGAACAACTCCTGGCACACAGTCTATGCTCAGCAAATGTTAGCTATTATTATTTAAATGTACAAATAGTTGCTATATATATATTTTTTTTCTTTGAGGAAGACTAGCCCTGAGCTAACTACTGCCAATCCTCCTCTTTTTTCTGAGGAAGACTGGCCCCGAGCCAACATTCTTGCCCATCTTCCTCTACTTTATATGTGGACACCTACCAAGCATGGCGTGCCAAGTGGTGCCATGTCTGCATCCGGGATCCAAACCGGCGCACCCCGGGCTGCCAAAGCAGAACATGCGCACTTAACCCCTGCCCCACCGGGCCGGCTGCGCTATATTTTAAAACTGTATGAATTAGAAATTTCTAACAGTCCATTTATACCCAATCCCACTTACAGTCAGCAGGCCATTCTCCAAAGACAGAGTCCTATTTATGACAGAAAACTTACTACTCTTTGATGGATTTCCACAGTGAATTATCCTAACGAAAAGGGAGGACAAAACTATCCTAAGGATAGCGGTTGATGACATCCTCGGCATGCGATGGGCCCTACTGTACGCACTTCACATTTATTAACTCTTGTAATCCTCACGGCCTTATGAGATAGATTACCATTTTCCCATTGTTAGATCTAGAGACTTAACAGAGGAGGTTAAGTCATTTGCCTAAAATCTCATAGCTAGTGAGGAGCAGGGCCCATGAGTAACGGACTAAACGAGTTACTGGATTTGAAGCCAGGCCACCTAGTCCGGGGCCAGTGCTTTTGACACACAGCTGGCAGTGAAGAGCCTCAACTTGTGCCAACACATCCTAAATGCCCTGGTCCTGTGTTTCTCCACTCTATAATGTGGCTGATAATAAACACTTAATAGGATTTAATTAATTCAAGAAGACTATTTGCAGATTCTCTCCCTCCAAACTGAGAGAAAAGAGCAGGGAGTGGAGGAAACGAAAAGTCTGAGACATACTCAGATTTCTAGATTTGATCTTTCTGTCCCACCAGATGCAACTCCCCTTTCTATTTCACCTTCAAAATTTTTCTTTAAACTCCTTGGATCCACCCTTAGGATACGTCCTAAAGACGCCAGAATTGACTCCACTTGAATCTACCAAAGCTTCCATATGTTGATGATATGGTACTTTTGAGGCCCAAACAAACCAACAGCTACTCCCCACTCCCCTCCCGTCCAAAAGTTCAAGTTTCAACTTGGCAGCTTTCTTCCCATTGCACTCCTTGAGCTGCCTGGGTGAGGACCTCGCCAGAAACAATCCTAGTCCAAAAGGAGGCAAAAGCAGCACACACTTCTGAGGGTGACAATCTTTAGGGAAAGAATTAGCATTAAACGCCCTGTAAAACCACACTGAGTTAGGATCACCCAGAAAATCTCTAATTCTCCAAGCTTATCCTCAACTTCCTTACTCTTGCATTGCCTTTCACTCAAATAATTGCATAGATTAATAACATTTACAGAGAATCAACACGTAATTTTTTTGAATGCACCAGACACACGTCTTACGCATCTTTCTAATTTCCCAGAATATCTAGTACATCGTTTTGAAAATATCAGGTGTTAAAAAGGGATGGGCAATACCTGATGAGCAGTATCACACGATGTGTCAGGAATAGCATTAGATTACATGATTGTCTATAATATCTTGTTTAAAACTTTTTGATGATTCCCCATTACATCTTGCAGGATATTCCAAACCATGTTCTGAGAAACAGGAGACGCCCTTTCAAACAAGTTTCATAGTCAAATAGTGGTGGAGATGCCATACAATATAAAGCGTCTAAGAGGCTTTGCAGTAGATATACCCGCTTGACTTTGTCTCCATTGGTGTCTCTCAAATGGTTTTGACCTTCTAAAACCCCTTTCTTTCCTATCACCATCCCACAGGACGCCTTCTGGTTAAGCCTTTGGATAAAGCATGACTTCCTAAACAAAGCCTCTGAAGTTCCACATCTAGCTGCTCCCTAACTGCTCAGGCTTTGGTCTTACCTTAGCTCCCCATCCCACCCCGCCCCACCCCATGCTCCTGCCCTGTCAACACACTGATCTCCCCCAGATAGGTCTGCTTTCTCCTACTTCCACCCCTATGTCTTTCTTCATTCCACATCCTTGCTCTCCTTGTCACCACACCCAACTCCTAGCACTCCTAACCTCTCATATCCTGGTTCCCTCTGAAGCGCCAAGCGGCTTCACAGCCCCTGTGATGACTTTCAGGGCACTCACTCGCTTACATCTCTGCCTCTCTCTGCTGGATGATAAACCTCTTAAACACAGGGCTGTGTCTTTTTCATCTGTGTATCCCAGTACCTCGCACCTACTGGTCATTCATGTACCGAGTGAACGAATGACCATGTAAATAACTGATTCTACGGAAATGACTGTTCAGGATCATTTCCCACCCTGCTATCTCTGCCATCTCAACTGTTAATGGTGCTTAAAGGCAATAGTTTGAATCAAAACCAGTTGGTTCCTTCATAGGAACCAGCAGTTCCTATGAAGAGGTGGGAAAGTTGAAAATGCAATCTGACTTGAGATCCAAAGATAGCTCAGATGCCCTATTTTGGTTAAAAATGTTTACTTCATCTTTTTTTCACCCAGAACTCTGACATCCAAAAATTTGACCAAAGTTAGTTAGTTTTTTGGTTGGGTTTATTTTTATTTCCTTTTACTTTTTTCCTAGCAGTTGAACAATAAACTGCCAAAGAGAGATGGTACAAACAGGGAATCCAGAGACCTCACAAAGTTGATAACTAGCTCCAGAATAAACGAGAGGATTGTGCTGGCGGATGTAAGGTATCAAGCCTCAAGGTTGAATGCCTTCCCAAGAAATGCCGACAGAATGTTTCCATCAGTGGCTTTCCACAAGCTAGTAAAACGTCCTCCTAAAACTGCAGGGGAAAACAGAGAGTGGACAAATCTGAATTTTGTCAAGTAAGGACCAAATAAAAACAAAAAGCCCCAAATCCTAATCTCACCAGAATATCAGAAAAGAAAGATTATGTTAACATCAAGAACTAGGAAAGCAATCTCAAAATAAAGAACATTCTTTTGAATAGACTATACTTAGTTTTGTGGGGGGGGGGGGGGAATATTCATTGTTGCTATTTTTCTCACTTTATTACGCAAAGAAGAAACTTCATCATGGGTCAGCATTTGGGAGCCACAAATCTAAACGCCTACTGTAAAGTTGCACAAAAACACTGTTGTTCTTATCAGCACAGTGCCCGGCACCCAGTTTATGCTCAACCAATCTTTGATGAATGAATTGATCAATCATTGACCGCTTGAAATCAGCAGGCCATTAGCTAGCACTGAGCATCCCTTGGGTTAAGCAGATATCTTTCTGTATTCGTTATAACAAACAACAGAACCCTGGCTATCCAGAATCCTCAATCTTCCAGACCACTTAGAGATAACACTTTTAAGATAAGGAATTTTTAAAAGTTACTCAGTTCACCTATATAAATTCCAATTACATGGAAAACAATGTATTAGGAGCTGATATAAGATATAAGATATAGTCTGTGCTATGGAAAAACCTATTAGCCTAGATGGAAACATCAGATATGGGCGAAATGCCTTAACAGTGGTAGAAATAAACTGCCTGGAATTTCAGGGGAAGAAATATTGCTTCCAGCTCTGGGGAAGGGAGTGGCAGGGTTATGGGGGTATTGGGAACCAAAGAAAAGTTGCACGAAGAATAAATAATTTTTTTAATATCTCCAAGTTTAGCCATTTTTAAACGTTTTGATCTCAGGATCCCTTCACACTCCTAAAAATTATCAAGGACCCCAAATCCCTGTTGTTTATGAGGTTACACCTATCAATACTTACTATATTAGAAATTAAAACTGAGTAATTTAAAAGATATTTCCTTATTCCATTAAAAATAACAATAAATAAAAATAATATGTATTACAAAAATGACATTTTCAGTGAAAAATTACTGTATTTTCCAAAACACACCTATAGATATTACCTATAAAATGGGAAGTTTTACATTTCTGCAAATCACTTTAATATCTGGATTAAGAAAAACCAGCTGGATTCTTATCTCTGCTTCTGCATTGCACCTGCTGTGATATGCTGTTTTGATTGAAGTATATGTATGAA